AGATATTACTAACATTTTGTTTAAAACTTGTGTCTGTATTCATTTTTATTAGACAAGTAATCTCCGAAACTACTGGACCGATTGTTGTCATATTTTGTATGTACATTAGAAATATCATTAGATGGTTAAACCCTAACTAAAATTTGACTAGTCATCCCCACCACCAATGGGATGACGTCATCTCTAAAATTTATAATAAAGAGTTTTTTTATTTTTATAAAATAGGACACTCATGCCCTTGTGTGTGAATCCGTGTCGAATTTTCACCTAAGACATCCCGAATTTTTGGAAAAAGTTCAAAACCGAATAACATATTGTTGCAATATAACTTTCAAACTGTCAAACCGAATGCGTTGAAATCTTTACACCACTAGTTTTTAATATATAAAGGTTATCAGCAAACAATTTTTCTTTATAAATTTTCAAAGAAGCGGGATTTGTTGGACTATACTTCAAGGGCGAGGGGAGTTCTATCGAAGTAACCTTGGACCAATTTTTCTAGTTCCATTTCTCACGAAAGCATAATTTCATGTTCATTTGGTGTTTCTTAACTTAGAATATTTAGAATACGAACACGCGACATTTCTGTTCCAACACATCGTTAGTTGTTTGTCCATTGGTAAAATGACTCTGGTAAATATTTGAGATTCAGTTTGTGTTTTAAGTTTATTAGAAATATAACAAAACGTCAAAAAATTAGTGAAACAATAAAACATATACATTATAAAGTAGTAACTATAATTTATCCCTAAATTTATCCTAAAAATTATTCAATACATACATATCTTTGACGATTATTTATACTTGTTGTCGAATACATTGCAAGATATCTGAAAACAGACAAATGAATTATGTATGAATTTTCTACGAATCCTTTAATCCAATTTCGTTCACATTCTAGAAACAAAATAATTCTTTATTACTTTAAAAGTGGATTAAGGTTATTTACACAGGTTTCCTTGCATGCATATAAAAACATCTTTACTATTAGAAAGATTACACAGTGAATAAATGATAATAATTATAAAAAACCAAAGTGGATTCATAAACCGTACAGGTTTATGATATTTTCTTATAAAATTTAAATAGCATATATTATGCAAAATTTTGGTTGACGTTTTAAAATCTACATTATATTTCTAAAATACTTCCAAAATTTTACAATAATCAGTCCAGTAGTTTCGGCGTTTCCGTCTAATAAAAATCGACAAAGAGAGACCACAAACACACGGAAACGGAACCCCTATTTTTTCATACTCTGGGGGTCCTAAAACGTCGAGAAAACTATTTGTTGCTACTAGCTCTTCGTGGAATAGACCTTGTCACAATACTTCCTTAGCTCACGTTTGGAAAGTAGTATTAAGATTATTGTTATATTTATATTTTGAAAAAAATTAAGAACGTCATTTCCCAAAAAATTTAAATTAATCTTCAGTGATAATATTGTGTTGCATGTTTGTTGCTATCTTTTTATCCCAGTATTATTTTCTATTTTTAAAATTACTTCCAAAAGAAGTAATTTATGAACCATTTTATTTTATGTAGGTATTATTTTGAACAAGATCTTCCTTATTTCTATCATCTTCTAAAGGCTAACAAACGTGGAAAAATATTTACATTTTAGCTATAAATCAGTTTTTTGTCCAAATTTTTCGGCTTAAGCTACTTTGGACTCCGTTTTGTGCCTTTGGAGATGCCAAATCCATCTGTGAGCTCCAAAAAGGCTCTTTTAAAATACGAAAATATGCATATCACAACCTTTTTAAATATAGTTTTGTTCAAGAGAAACTGAACACTCACTAAATAAAATATTGCCAACAAAATAAAACATTAATTGTCTTTTAATTTTTTTACATAAACTCGTTTTTCGTCGTTTGATGACTCCCAGGGTATGAAAAACAGATCTTCTGTTTTTGTCTATTTTGTTTATCGTCCTTAGTCTGGGTCGATTTTATTAAATAGATAATTTCCGACACTATTGGATTGGTTACTATAAAGTTTTATTTGTATATTAGGAATATCGTGTAGATAATAAAATGATGACCAACATTTGTCTATCTATCCCCACCAACAACTTGACAATGTCACCTAAAAATTTTACATAGAAAATGTTACTTAAATATTATAAAATAATAAATTTCTCAACTTGTGGTTGTCCACCTTGTTTATTTAGTTTATAGTAAAGCTCGCAAATTCAAATTTTATAATTTTTCGAAGAAGTTGTTTGTTGGACTACTACTATAAATGGAAATTCTGTCTGCTACCCTAGACCACTTTTTGTTTTAAAAACAGGTAAAACAAAACCTTAATAAAAATATCCCAGTAATAAACCCTGTAAACATAAATAGCACTTGTATTTTTTAACAACGTAAATGAAAATAAATTCTGTTTTATACTTGAGAATATGTGTTCGAATACGCGGAAAATGAAAATTAAATCTTTTACTTCTACTTTTTGAGTTTTATCTTCAAATAATTGAAAAAATTAAAATAAAAAAAATGTAACCTTTAGAAATATTGTTTAGAATATGTAGGTGTGATATGGTAATTTGATATTCCTTATTCCAAACTCACGTTTTGCACCTAGAAAAAGTTAACAGAAAAATGAATAATTATTTAATTTCCTTCAAAGTGGGAGTTAATAAAATTGTATACATTGATGAGAAAAGGTTAAAATTAATAGCTAATTTAGATCCGTTGTGTACAAGAAAAGTAAAATCAGAAATTCGTTTCGAGCTAAAATTGTTAATAACCTGATCGATTGTTCAGCATGACCAAAATTGTTTGTGTTGAAAGGTTCACACTTTTTAACACGCAATGCTAACATTTTTACTTATAATTTTCATACAACTATTTTTTTATAGTTCATTGTTCTCTTAAAAGTCTAGATGTACTTTTCTTACCAAAACTTGATGGCGTATTTTTATTCTGTTTTTAATTTAAACAAAATTGCCCAAATAACATTCGCAAGATGATAAAGAACCAGCTTCGTTTATCAAAACCATAAAGAAATAAATGGTTTTGTATGATTTCCACAATATATATTTTCATAAAAGAACAAATCAGACACATGAGACTTTCCAGTGGAAATGTAGTCAATTTATCTCCAAAGTGACTCTTGAGTCGATTTACATTGTTTCTATGCCAGCTCGAAGACAATATGCACATAAGGTATCTCTGCATCTAAATTATATTACTCTTGTCGCAAACAATGAGATTACATACAGAGTTTTATTAGCGCCAAACTCAAGAATCCTTTGTAAAATAATGCATTGCTTCAAATATGCAACATGTAGCCCTCCGCACAAAACGAATTTCCAAGCTCCAAATGCAAGAAACGCGTTTATTTTTTGCTAAGGACAAACAAACTGGTAACGAGGTTTCTGGTACGAATTCTGCATAGTTTATTATGTTGAGAGGACTGAACACTAGGAAACAATAAGTAGTGCTTTTCGACTTACCGTATCTTGTGTCTACAGATCATTAGTGTAAAGGTTCCATTTGAATGTAAATGCAGCCACATGAAGCGATAATCACGTGATTGAAAAAGTTACTATAGTGCTGGCAACCTCTCAAAATCACACGATAAAATTTTAGTGGATCGAAATATAACATTCTGAATATACAATTGTGTGCAATAATTAATATTAATATTGTCTGAAGTACACAGACTTTTTGACTTGGTGTTGATTGTTCTACAAATTGGGTTTATTTGAAATCATACACTTTACATACACAAACTACTGTCACTGTCTCAAAATTAATTAGGACCTCCTAAGTGGTATTCAGCATTCAACGTAGATAGTTATTCTGAGGATCCTTTGAAACCATGGCGATGTCTGTGCCGATAATAATTAAACGCAACACAATATATAATCGATAATGATTTTACGTTAGCGTAAATGATAATAGACTTTAAACTTGTAGTTAAGTTGTTAAACTGGATAACTGGAGGTGTTAAGCTCCCGTGGTACCATCCAAGTGATTACAACAAAAGTTTATGTCCCTCTTTTTACACCGCATCATGTATAAAATTAAGCTTTAGCTAAACGCAAAGCTTATTCACAATACACAGAGGAATATTATTTCTACAATGTGTCACAGAATAACTTACGACTAAGTTACTTCGACACAATTTAATTATATTGTGATGAATTTGACCGCTGGGGAGAATAATTGTGGCTAGTGGTAAATAAACCTTCTGTTTTTGTTTTTTGAAAATGACAGCACGAGTTTGAATTAATTTACAGACGGAGTTTACTCAGGAATTATAAATCATAACGCTGCCGTTGTGACAATGGGTTTTTAATGTTGACGCTTTTTGCTGATGAAAGCCCGTGTTTAAAAAGGATTTTTGCTAAGCTAAAGTTTGTGGCAGTTGTGAAATGCCGGAGATTAAAACTGATACTCTTTGGCTGGAGCCGTTTTCCTTTAAAAGTGTTGACGAAATTTAAAATTTTCAATCTCCTGGCAATAACTTTGCTTTTAGAAACTATGATATTCTAACGAGGTGCTCAGACCGAGTGAACGAATGTAACTTTAAAGCATCTTAAAATTTAACGGTTTCAATGAATAGAATTTTCGTCAATTTGTTAGAATGGTGGCAGAATGAAGCGTGGTCGCCATAATTTTTGCGCCTCATTGAATATAAATGAAGCATTAAGAATTAACATTTGAATCAGAAACATAATCTAAACAATTTGCATTTATCAAGGCGAACAAAAATCACAAGACGAACCAGAATTTCAAATGTAATTATTTCGGTAATTAAAACGCCTTTCTCAAGTTTCCGAAACAAATTTTGTCGAGTCTTCTCAAACAATATGAAAAAAGATATTATTCCCATTTAATATTTTTCCAAATGGAAGCTCTAAATTTGCGATTAATTTCTCCGTCCGAATTTAGATCGAGAAAAGCGGTTATATTAAAATTTTCATTGGAGCAAAGGAGCGCACGGAACAACGCGTTTTCTTCGGCACCCATAAAAAGGATTTCTTTTACCTTTAATTACATCTTCGCACTTCTTGAAGCTTTCAACAAATCATCCAATCGCGTCGGACTCCATTACGATCCTGAAACAATAAACAAGTCGTAATTTTTTCTTTGAAAACTCGGCGGTGAGAAAAAAGCAACGTCTGGAATATTTGATGAACGATTTGGCTTCAGTTCAACAGGTTCCACCCTGGGAGCCAACTTTCGGACGAATATTACTTTCAAAGAAACATTTACTCATCGAGCTGTATAAAAACAAATTACTCGGTCGAAGTGCGTCGCTAAAATTAGCAAGGCAGCGGAATTAAATGCTTCTGATCGCTTTTTAACTTCCGGGATAAGGAAGTCATTAGAGTAGAGAAAATTTAGATGTAGAGATTTGAACACATCCTAACGTTTTAAGATCCTTCGTTTCCAAACACAACGTAGGTCCTACATTTTTAAATTTCGCGGGCTTTGATATTTGATTTGAATTTTCGCGGAATAAAACTGTTAAGTCTAAAGTTCAATCGGTCGTAATCTCGACACGCCATATACTAAAAATTAGTAGCGTCGTTAATCAGTAAATACAATTTGGTGGCTTTACGACAACTGAGATTTTATTGAATTCGGGGTACTTCTACAAACTACTTCTCTTGATGGTTATTTAAAGTTTAATGTTTATTTGTTAAAGCTTTTCTGTGACATAAAATAAAACCGTGACCGGCATACAACGCATGACAGTATGGGGGAGACTATTTAGATTCTGGATCCTGTGAAAGAAGCCAGCAGCTCTAAAAACCCAAATTTCTGCGGCAATATAACTACATTTTCAGCAAAATTTCTGTGTTAATTACCTTTGAAAGCGTTGTGTAAAAATCTCCCGGAAACATTTATGAAAACGCTATCAGAGCTGCCAGCTCGAGCAGCGATAAATAACTAATAAAAACAAGCGCTGTTTCGTAGTTCAAAAATTTATAAATCAGTTCAACACCGCTAACGGAAGCCGGGAGCATTCGCTAGTGTGAGTTAAAATTAATTCTCTGGTTTTAGTTTAGCTGTTAGGTGCTATATAGTCGTTTAATTAATTTAAGTTTAATTTTAAAGCCAGACAAGATGATTCATTAAGTTAATGGGTTTGTAGACTTCGCGTAGAACTTATTGTCTGCGCTACGTACTTATGACAGGTTTAGAGAAAATTGCCGGTTTTATGTTTATCGTTCTAGCCAATGCGACGTGTATTGCTCAAGTGGTATCATAAACGATGGGAATCAGAGCACCACTAAAGAGCTTCAACGCCATATTGCAACGTAATCTGCACTGAAACGTTGCTATGTTGTATAGAATAGGAATTTTAATCGTATCATAAGCACTTATCGCGGTTGTGTTACAGGAATTTCTGAGGAAAATCTATTCACTGCGTGGGGTGGGTTATGACGAATTTTAGAGAAGGATTTCAAAGTTGAAACAACAATTACTTTGATAACGTATAAGGTAGCTTTAATTTTTTTATGACAACTATAAACAGGGATTGTACTTAAAATGTATGATTATATCGCTTTTACGCAACCAATGTAAGCTCAAATAGACGTGAAATTTCAATTTAAGTTTCAGCTTCAAACATTAATATCGTTATAAATCTAAATCCAATTGAGTCGCACAAAAAGGATTCGAATGACATAAAATAGAGCGACACTAGCTGTAAATTCACCCTCATTAGTAAGTATTATCGGTATTATTATTTCTCATTTCACTCTAATTAACATTAATTGGCCACACAGCGAATGAATAATTTAGGTAAATCAAAAATGAGTTACCTTTCCACGGGTCGACGCACAAACAAATTTTCATAGTGGGTGCAAACCCTGAGCTCTCGGACCATCGCTATACATTTGATGCAAACGTTCTGGGTTTTACGTGCCAAGGAATTTTTTTTAACGTTGTCGATGATCTTGAAATTTCGTGTGTTCGTCATGCATTGAATTGAAAAGCACGCACAGCTAATGCTGTGGCACAACTGAAGCTTTATTTTGTAGACTTTCTTGTCGAACGAATGGGTGAAAAGCGATCGTTTAAAACTCCGAGAGTTCAAATAACAGGCGTTGATGGAGGAACCCACAGAAATAGAAATAAGAGACAATTGAGATGTCGAGAGAATTAAACACAACTGATGGCGCTCGTGTAAGAGTAAAGTTGAAAGGTTAAGTTCGAGCTTTAAACATTTCTTCTTGGTTTAGGGATAAATTTGGCTGAATTATCTGGGGAGTATTGTTTTGGTTGCGTTGAAAATATTTTAGAATCAGAGCAGGACCGATCGATACTCTGTGTGCATAACGACGCTCGGGTAACGAGCAAGACGTGGAGCATGAAAGTGGAATATAGTGAACTTCGGTACAGCCAAATCTATAACACACACATCGCCTCATTTTTTTGTGAGCATTAAGTTGAAAAGTTGTTTTCTTTTTTCTGTAAAAAAACGAAAGTCTTAGTTTTGTTGCTGTGAAATAATTTGTTAAAATAAATTTTGTCTTTTAAATAAAACTAAAAAGTTTGTTTTTATTTGAATAAACTCTTCAAGTTAAAGGAACAGTCGGCTTATTTGAAAACTGCTGTCTGTGCAGAAAATAAATTTCACGAGGGGGAATTATATAAAATGTTTGTTTGGAAATGTAATAAATCCACTCGTATCATTTCCGGCTTTTCCAGGAACAAAAACACAAGTAAATTTGAAAGGAAAATTCTAAACCATATTCCTCTGGAAATTTTGGTTACCTGGTATAAATTGAGTATTCAGAAAACTGCGCCCACTCAAAAACAAAATAAAAAATTAACTATTTTAAAGCACAGAAGGTGACTTCACTTCCGGTAAAACAGGAAACGTTGACGTTGTACTCTGTATACCTACACAGGTAGAAATTTATTCGTTACATTGATTTATTTAAAAATTCGTCTATATGCATGCGAATAATGAAGTCAATAAATATAAATTGAAATTCGCAACTAACAATTAACAATAAATAAAAATTGCATTTCCATTAAATAATAATTAATTCTTCTGCTATCACAATGCACAATTGAATTGGACCGTACAATTTTAAATAACTCTGTTTAAATTATGGTTTAATTAAGCAATGTAAACTCGCTAAATATTTCAGACACCATTCATTTTCAGTACGCTCTGGTAACTGAAACTACTCTACTTTAAAATTTTAAATAGTTACTTATTTTGTTCTTGACGTAGAACAAATTTTCCCTAAAAGGGTCATATTTCGCTGTAGAAGAATTTCAAGCTGTACTGCTGCTTTTAACAAATTACATAGAACTTGTCTTGTTTTACACCATACCGTGGTTTATTATTCACATATGCATTTAGCTTGAATCCACTATTCCCTAAACGAAAAAAATGGAGATCAGGAGCTTTGTTTATAGTTGCTATATGTAACCTATTTTAGTTTTTAATAAATATCAAGATCAAGAAGGGAGTGCTTGACAAGTGAGTGCTTGTTCCGAACAGTTGCTCAATCTGTGCTTATTTTGGAGAGATTGACTTTACAAAATTGTGAGTTTTTCATTGTTGTACTACTTTAAGTTGTTACTTACATTGTAGTGATTAGTTTTTACTAATTGATAACTTTTTGTGTCGGTGGCAAGAGACCGCGGCTGTGCCGCGGCCTTTAGCCGGGCTCACACCGGTGGGTATTTCCCGAAAGGGAAAAGTGTATTATTAGCATTTTTTTTATACCCGATAGCTATGGCCGAAACTGCGTTTCAATTCCCTGCTAAAGACCAAGCAATTGTGATGAATGCAGTTAGTGAATTAAAACTTACTGACTATGTAATTGCGATTGGTAACCTGATGACTCCTAAAGATATACTTTTTGCATCTCGTATGTCCAACGATCGAGTTTGTATTTACTTGAGTAACAAGGCACTTGTAGATCAAATAGTATCTGAACAACCTGCACTCATTATCAACGGAATTGAAATTAAAATTCGTCGGTTATTAAACCCAGCTAAACGTATCATCTTATCCAATGTATGCCCCACGATTCCTCACTCCATTGTTGAGAATCAAGTTAAAATGTTGGGTTTTACAGCTGTCTCGCCTATGACTTTTCTCAGAGCCGGCATCCAGAACAGTGCTTTTTCACATGTGCTCAGCTTCCGTCGACAAATCTACGTACAACCTTCATCTATCAGTCTCCCATCTTCTGTCGTTCTTAAGTATGATGATACTAACTATAGACTTTTCTTAAGTTTCGACGATGTCTGCTTTAAATGTAAAGCAGCTGGTCACTATGCAGTTGACTGTCCGAATGTCATCGAGAAATCCACTTCTATAGTTTCCCCCTCTGAAAACGCCAAACAATCTGTAGACCAGGTTTATCCCAGTAATAAACGACAAACTACTAACGATGATCCAGATGAAGTAACTCCTTTGGATCTGACTCAAATGTTCCGTGATAAAGATGCTCGTGAAAAGAGAAAGCCCAAAAAAATGAAAATTAGTGACTCACTTGAAAGTCTCACACCTACATCTGAACTGTTGACACCTGTTAGACAATTAATAGACAATTCTGGGGTACAGTATCCCGTCGACTTCAACCAGTTCGTAGAGTTTATGGATAAGGTGATAGGAGACAGCAACGTGATGGATCTTATTAACAAATACACAACTGATGTACAGGGAATGTTAAATTTGTTATATGACGTATACCCTCTTGTAGAGCACAAAAGCATCAAAAATAAATGTTTAAAAGCCCAACGTAAACTGAAAAAGGCATACGCAAACTTTGTAGATCAAACAGCTGATCCCGTTCCTCCAACAGAGTCGTTTCTAATTTCTCCTCTTCAAGATGAATACTAATAACTTTTCTAAAGCATTTTGTAACCCTTTAATAGCATATACTAACATAGCATCTTTGCCTGCAAAATATGATGAATTCTGTTCTTTTGTTGTCTCGAATAAACCCGCTATATTTTTAATCACTGAAAGTTGGTTAAATGTAGCAATACCCGATTCTCTATACTCTTTACCAGGTTATTCAATATACAGGACTGACCGAAAAGGTAAACGTGGTGGGGGTGTATGTATCTATGT